AAGTAGAGGGGTGCTCAGCTAATACTGGCTACGTTGAAGCTAAAGAAAATTATTAGAGAGTGACAAAAGAAATCCCCCAGTGGATTATTTCTGAGATCCACTCCTTTCTTTTATTTACAAAGTGGGGCAACATTGCCCCTATCCAGTCTTTGGGTACTCTTCTGTTTCCTGAAAACTGCCTATATTCTAGTTCTTTCTGAAGCCTTATGAGGCTTGATTCTATCTTCTCTCCCATAGGAATAATACTGACCCTTCCTATGTCACAGAGCTGTATAGGGGTCCAGAAGAAAGGCTGGGCACAACAAAATAGTCACTTAGGCTGCCTGCATAGGGGCTGTGTGGATCTTTGGAAGAATAGTTATAGCATAGCAGCATAGTCACATCCTGCAGCTCCCAAAGTAAATGTCACACATGGGACCAGACACCATATATGATCAGGGAGACATCCCATGGGGAGGAACCTCTCATCATGGTGCTGCTGTTTCAAGGTTAAAAAAAAAAAAAAAAGGAAGCTGGGCTGGGGTGCAACAGAGGTTTGGTCTCAGGTTTTGTTCTTTCTCCTTCTTTGTCAACTTCCCTTTTTCTCTGAGTCAGTGCTTTAGAATCACTAAAATGGCATTAGCTTCTCAGGAAGCTACCCTATGGTAGCTCATGAGGACAGAAGCTAAGAACTCAGGAGAACAGCCTAATGCCCGCATCACCAGCCTCATCCACCCTCTGTCTCCCATGAGGTGTCTGGACTTGGATGGGGCTGCACAGAAAACACACCCATAAAGAAAGTGTGGAAAGAAACATTCTACTCCTCTCCTAAACTAATAGGAATCCCCTCCAAACTCAATTGTGTAATGAATGCAAGAATGAACTCAAACAACCCACCCCCTGCCTACCGGTGGTGATCATCCCTCTGGAATTCTTACTAAACTTAACGTCTTGGGATATATATATATATATACAGCAATTATTTTGTTACCTACAATTTTTTGTCCTCTCTCTTCTAAGGTGAACCAAAGAGGGTACAGAAGGTTTGCAGACATTGATTAAATATGTCTGCAACGATTTAGACATGAGGGTATTTACTGATGCTACTATAACAGAAAACTGGAAAAATATAAATGCCTGACAACAGTGGATTGTTCAAATACATTATGGYACATCCATCCACTAGACTGCTATACAGATATTAAAAATCAGGTTGCCAAAGAGTAAATGAAACGATGTTAACAACATAAAGGTAAAAGAAAAAAAGCAAGTTACAAAGGCAGAATATTGTACATATAAAGAGGATAATTTTTCTAAGGATATGTTAACAATGATTACAACTAGTGGAATTATGAATAGATTTTTTATTTTCCTCTTTTTTGCTTATATGCTTTTTCCAATTTTTTTAACAGTAACGTGCATTGCTTTTGAAATACGGAGTGGGGCATAATAAAAGCTTGTTTTTGCTAGCAAAATAGAAGAAAACCCCCTCTTTCAAGGCATCCTGGAAGTTGAATGGATATGAAGCCAGTTTGCAGCCTGCTCTCCAGATTATCTATAATCCCATGGAAGCTACCTTGAATCCTGGAAGAAGCTTCCTTAAAATCAGTGTCTAACTTGAGATGAGTTATTAAAAATGGTRCTCCCCTGCCAAACCCTAGGGCTGTGGGCCACTCAGCCCAGAGAAAAAGGCAGTGGCAGAGCCCCTGGGCTTTCAAAGCACAGCAGCAGTCCTAGCGTGAGAGGAATCTCCCTCCCTCCTGCTTCTGCTGAAGGTTTGCAGACAGCTCCCTTTCCATCCCACAAGAGGAGACAGGCAGATGAGTCACTGCACTGGCTCGGATTAAAGGAGTATTATTGTGTGAGCAGAAATGGATCTATTTTATTATCTGTTTCTTGACACCTTACAGATAGATATGCTTTTCCCACAAGACAGGCAATTTCCTTTAAAAGCCAACGATTTTGTTTGCTGAAGTTAAGAAATGACCAATGAGAATTACAAACTTGTGCATCTGAAGAGTTGCCAGGCTGAAAAGATGTAGTGGAAACACTGAGAGAGGTGGTTTATAACTCTCAGACTCTAGATTTTCAAATTTGCAAAGTGATGCCACTCTTCTAAAAATATACAGAGGAACTGCAGAAACCCATTCCCCTTTTCACTTTCCTAAGAGTTCCCCCCGCCACCCCGCTTTAAGAAAAATACCAGAATTGGTTTACAAAGGGAGATTCACCACTTCAGAGATTTCACTGTTTTTTGTTGGGATGATGGTCAGGGGATGCTATTTTAAGGACTTCCTTCACTAACACAGACTTTTCCATACTGAGAGGACAGATAAGGTATGTTCTACTAATGCTCCTCATTAAATTCACATGCATGCCAACAGTCATTTCCCTTTGTCTTCTTGTCCCATGACAACAGATTGCATATCATAGGAAATTGTAACGGAGATATTATTTGGTTTGGATCTCTCTTTTCCATTGTTTAATTCCACACTCAATCTTTCATTCTATGCCTGCCTCCTTTTGCAGAAATATACTACAAGTGAACATAGGAACAGCTAAATGAATAGGTATTGTTATTTTAAGTCTGATTTCATAGACTTTTCAGGATGCTTTGACCAGTGCTTCCTCCTCCCCACCCACAAGCACTTATCTCTGGGCCAAAATGTACTGGTATTCCATAAAGACCTGATGACTGATGGGCATATATGTGTTATCAATGTGCATTCCCTTTTCTTGTCTACTGCTATCACATTCCAGTACAGGAGCATCCCTGTTTAAATTACTGCTGTTATACTTTATATATAGACGTGTCTGTGCAGCCCTTACTCTGTACCACCTGTCCACTGAAAACACACAAACAAAAACCAAAAACAAAACAAAACAACAACAACAACAAAAAAAAACTCCCGCCAAGTGCAAGGAATGAAGTTCTAAGGCAAAAGAGAAAGTCTGACATTCCTGAACCTTGACACAGCCTTTTCAATCCAATGAATGCTGTTCCGTGAAGCTGTCACTGTTGCTTTACCTTAAGATAGAAAAGCTCTTACAGCAAACTTTTAAAACCATTCTAGCTGTTTGTTTTCTGAGTATTAACTTGCTTCCAAATTTTGCTATTACGGTTTCTTTTCATTTTAGAAAGTGGTTTTAATACATTTTCTTGTTCCAAACAGGATCCATCAGATCAAAGAATGAAAGTTCTTTCTTCTTATCGAATATTAACTGTGTGCCAGGCATTAGGTAATAGCTTCCACACTCATTATTTAATTTACTCTTTTACAATCTCTCTATGAAGGAGATGCCAACACATGAGGAAAGAGAGAAGTGGGCTGTTTGTTCTAGAGCATGTATCAAGTGTGGGGGCTCTTTTGACCATTTCGTCAACCTTCATCCAACTTTTATTACTAAGTCCATGAATTTGGTCATCCAGAAAACTTTTTCTTAGAACTCAAAGCAAAGTGTTATTTGCACTTGGTAAAGCTAGACCTGCACTAAATTAGGAGGGCAGCCCCAGCTAACCCAGAAGCCAAAACTCACTTGTTAAGTGACACTAGACCACAGCAGTTAGGAAGAGGTGGCCACATCAGAGAGTTACAACTTCAAGTCTCAGCTTACCCACTTTTTGGATATGAGATCACAGGGAAGTTATTTGAGACTCGGTTTCCACATCTGTAGAAATAGGTTGAATTCTACAAAATTGCCAACTTTCCACCATGTTTTTTTAATCTTCAAAAAGAATTTTCAAATGGTTCTACTTAAATTCATCACTGGTTCCTTATACAGATGAAATCAATGAGCACAGGAAACACTGTAAATGGAACCATTTAATGGACCCTGTATTACTGATTTCTTTTTACTCGGATCAATAGTTTGCAATTTCTTAACACTATATATATATATAAGTTAGCGTGAAGTTGTGTAAATGTTGGAGCCTGTAAATTAGGGAGACAATAAAAATGCATGGATAATCAAGAATTAACAACTAAGGCCTCCCTGCTCTGTGCATTTCTCTCCTACTTTAGTCTCTTAATTAGTACATAAATTTACAAATGCTTTTCTTTCTTTCTTTCTTTTTCTTTTTTTTTTTTTTAGAAAGTGGAAGGAGAACATTGAGGAAGTTTTTTTACATTGTTTAATCCCATCAACAAAATAAAGGTGTAAAATCAATTCTTGCCTCTCAATTTGGGAATGCGAAGTGGTGGGGCAGCTTGATTGGCAGAGCAGATCGTACCTTCCAGGCTAGGCAGTGCCTGGCCTCACCCAGCCATCAGAACCAGCTCCACAAGGACTTGCCTCACCTGTCCCGCCCAAGAACAGTTCGAGTTACCATTATTGGCCGTGTGTTGTTCACTTCCTCGCTAGGTGCCAGGCCCTGTGCTTGGTCCCTCACATGAATTATTGCATTCACTCCCCCACGACATTCCTACGAGAAGGAAACTGCCGTCTCTCTCCCCCTTTTCCCATCTTCCGAGTGAGAAAACAGACCCACACAGGTCTCCTCCAAGGACTCTGAACGGTGGACTCGGACTCGAACCCGGTCAGTCCCAGAACTCTGAAAACACCGAACCTCTTAAAAGCGGGTAGAGGCACTTTTTCACTTAAGAATCCTGCAAACTTGGCCACACCCAAGGAAAGGGTCTCTGCATCGCTGACCCGCACAACCTTGGGTTCCCGGCTTTCGGCGCTGGGCACCGAGGGTGGGGGAGGGAAGCGGGGTATTTAACCCCAGCCTGGAGCCCGCGGGGCGCCGGACGCTCGCGCCGCCTCTGCCTCCTCCCCACTCTCTCGGCGCGCCCCACCCTCCGCCCCGCGCTCGCCTAACGCAGGCACCGGCCGGCGGGGAGCCGGACACCGCTGGCGCTCGCCTCAGCGGAGCCGCCCCCTGGCCGCAGCCGCCGGCCACGCACTGCCCAACCCGCGCCACCCGGACTCCAGCCACCCTGCTGCCCGCATCCAGTGCGCCGCGGCAGCCCGAGCCGGGACGCCGGCCCCAGCGCCCCGCAGACGGGCAGGCGACGGTGGACGTCCGGCCAACAGCCTGAAGCATGGATTCGGATTCCGGGGAACAGAGCGAGGGGGAGCCYGTGACCGCCGCAGGTACTGAGGGACCGCGACAACCCGGCTGGGAGGACTGGGACTGGAGAGGAGCAGAGACTGGGGCAGAAAATCTGGAGTGTTTCTCGGAGCTGCGGGACGGGAGGCCGATCCCTGTAGCCCGATCCCTTGCAGGCCAGGGCTGGGGATTGCTCGGCGCTTTGAGTTTGCTTTGGGCTTCCTCCCACCATCCCGTTGCACTGGGGCAGGCGGGAGGGAGAGGAGGTGCATTTGCGGATGGCTTTCAGTGCTGTGGGTCTCCCGCGGCGGGCTAGGGTCGCCCGGGCTGGGTGGGGGCGGGGAAGGGTTTAGGAAATCCGAGTCCTGTAGTTTGCTGCAGAGAGGGTTGCAAGACATCTGCCTTCTGAAATAACTTTCCAAGCGCCGGCCGGGTGCTCAAACCCGAGATGCCGGAGCCACGCAGCAGAGCAGATGACCGGGTCCCAGGGCGTGACAGGGGACACTGGAAAGAAAAGACCCCCGAGTGAACCCGCAGGAGTCAAGCCTCAGCTGGTGGCTGCGGTTCCCGAGGCTGATAAGCAACCCAGTGCAGAAGAGCTTGCGGTCCCTGCCGTGCAGCTGGCAAAGGAAGTACCCGAGGAGGGGTCCCCGAAAACAGACGCGGGGGCGCGCTGGAACCGGGCGTCGCCTCTTAGAAGCGCCGCCGGCTTTTCACAATCGATAGTTATCGAAGCAATGGGAGGATGCTTACTTAGGAGAAAAAAATGAATGTCCTCCCCCGCCTCTCCCTGATACTGAGCAACAGGAGGAAGCCACCCACAACCGTGGGTCGACTTACCGCAGATTCTGCCCACCTCCACCAGCCCGCCCCGCCCCCCGCCCACAGGTCCAGGCACCTGGGACCCGCTTGCCCTCCTTCAGCGCCCCCAGCTCCCGTTGACCTAGGCGTCACTGAAAGTTAGCCCTGTGCCTGTAGGCTGGGACCCTCCTGGTACAGAATGAGGTCTGGGTCTGATTCCCACTTTCCCCAGTGTTACACCTGAGTGCCAAGGGTGGGGACCAAATGACCTGAGGCACCATCCGACCTGGAGTGGGTACAGAAAGGCTGGTTAAGGAGCCAGGCAGCATAGCACCCCACATATTATTATTCCCTTTCGTCCACATAACACCTAGCCTTGCGATTATCTACATTTTGTAGAGGTTCAGTGGTTAAAGGACTTGCCAGACTCACAAGGAGTAGCCAAGGCCCAGTGACTCTCTTCTGCTGCACCATACCCCTCATAGAGCAGCTGTAGTCATCTCCTTTAGGTGGGCAGGTGGGAAGGAAGACTAGCAGAAAGGAAATGTGACACATCCCCAAGATGCCTGTATGTGAGGATTAATGTGTGTGTGCAAGAGCCACCTGCTTTGCGTAGATATGTGAGGATATAATTCATAAACTCAAGTCCTTTGCCTGCCTGTGTATCTTTGACTGTAAAGCACCAAGATTTGGCTTTACAGGTTGCTTATCGATCTTCTTTCATCATTTAAAAGTTCCAGTAAGTGTTTTGTGTACATCTAAGTATATTTCCAGAGCTCAAAGGGAAGGGGGAACACTGAAACTGACACTTTACTCTCTCAATCGCAGTAACTAGAATTCTTCATGCTACCTCTACTCCAACCTATAACCTCTTCTGGTGGCAGAAGTTAAGTATTGAGGGAGAGAGGCAAGAGGATAAAAATGCTTAGGATAAAGGAGGGAAAAGAAGTGGGAAGACAGGAAAACTCCAGGGTCTTTGGTATTTGGGGAAAAGGGGTAGGAAAGAGCTCCCATGCACCCTGGTGTCTTCTCCCCCAGCCTGCCTCAGTTTTGAATATCCTTGCCTGTAGATGTTCATGTCAGCTCCTGTCCAAAGCACCTCTGCACAGCTGACAGCAAACATTATCACTAAGGTCAGATGCATCTGATGAAGAACAGGGCAGCCAGTTCTCATGAGCTCACACCATTTGTTTGCACATTACTGTTTTCTGCCATCATTTCTTCTTTCTTCATGTGCTTGACTCTCACAAGTTGAATATTTTTTTGTAATGTCATGAGCCATTCTGCTAAATGGCATTCAGTCTCATTATTTTCAGTCTTAAAGTATTCTCCTTTGTGACAAAGCTTTAAAACTAGATTCTAATTCTCCATCTTGCTTTGGCTGCATCCTATCAAATGGAAATTCTTGTTGCAGAATCAGACACCAGTTAATTGGCAGGTATGTTATCCATAGAGGTTGATCTTTGTCCTTAAGAGAAACTTGAAATTGATTTGTGGACCTCTGTCTTTTCAAGGTGAATGGGTCTGCAACCGAGAAAGATAACAGTGAGAATGTGTGAGTGTACGCGCCTTGTAGGGAGTTGAGATGTAAGACTGCTGCCTCCTCAATTCCCTTCTCTCTTGGAACTTGTGAAAAAGCCATAAAATGGATCTTGTAAGGTTAAGAGACAGAACTCTGGAATCATAAAGACCTTAGTTTAAGTTTCCATTTGATGGACAAGTTACTTAACCTCTACAACCTCAGTTTCCCCCTTTGTAAAGTGGGGATAACTACAATACCACAAGGAGGTTATGAGGATTACATAAAATAACACATGAAAGGTATTCCTAGTAATCATTCAATAAAATGGAGCTGTTATTTTGATTATCACTTGATTGGATTATTTGTAAGGCTACATCTAAATAGTGAACTCTAGTCTACTATAGTACACTAATTTGTAATAAACAGATCACTAGGTATATATAAAGCAGTTAGTAATATTGTCATTATGATCACATTACTATAAATTACCTGAAGAGATATATTTTGAAACTTTTCCTTTGCAGCAGATGCATCCTGCATGTGTGTGTGTGTGTGTGTGTGTGTATGTGTGAGTAGAGATTTTTAGTTCACATCTCTTATCTGCATTCATCTTCCAGCTCAAGGTATGAAGATGGGGACAGCCCACCCTGCTACTTTCACCACCCTCTCCTCCAGCTCTAGGGAAAGTTGTATAAAACAGAGAACCTCTTACTCAATCCACCTGCCAACCTAGAGATGGGACGGGTTCCTTCTTCCCTATGGCTTCAAATGAGAAAAGAGTGACAATGCCCTTCCCTCTGCTTCTTCTTTCCTTCCCCATCCCCAGAAATCTTACCCCTTTCAGATGGCAGGAGGCATGGGAGGTGCTTGCCTCCCTCCCTTCCACTTTTGTCCATCATGACCATCTCCCTGGTCTCCTTCCCATCACCTACTGGCTGGTTAGCAAGGCAGTCTTCACAGGCCACTCATTCTTTACCCCTTTGAAGAAGCTCTACCAAATCTTCCCACATCGTGCAGTGAAGATCCATCACACCCCGCAGAACAGAGGGTTGGGGGGCTGGGGATGAGATTTGTCTTGATCTGCATTTTTTTTGTTTTGTTTTGTTTTTTTAGGAAGAACAGGTTGATGCTTCTGTGTCATTCTGCTGCCTGCAGCTCTCTGCTGCCTTTCTGTCATTTTATGGTTCTTTCTATGATTAGGAAAGAGGCAGGGTTTATGGAACACTGGATTCATTCCAGAGACCCAACTTGGCAGTCTTCCCTTTGGCAAACCCACCATCCATCTCTCAGAAATCCTAGAGCTTGGTGTATTAACTCGAGAGTGATTAAGAGTCTTTCCTAAGAAGCAACAGGGGAGTAAACATTAGCCATGTCAGCTTTTTTCCCCATTCTGGTTTGGAAGACCAAGATAGTCTGCTGAAGGCAGATGAGCTCCTTCCACCCACAACTAGGTAGTCCCAAGCAGTTAAGCTGATGGGGCATCCTTGTGCCTGGATGGGTGTTGCAGAAAAGCATTTCCAGCCAAGCACTGTGAAACATGGTTGTAATCCCAGCGATTTGGGAGGTGGAGGCAGGAGGATCACAAGTTCAAGGCCAACCTAAGCAATTTAGCAAGACCCTGTCTCAAACTTAAAAAGAGCTAGGGATGTAGTTCAGTGGCAGAGTACCCTGGGTTCAATCCCCAAGACCAGGGGAAAAAAGAAAAAAAAGAAAAGCATTTCCACAAAAAGGGTGTCTGTGTATGATAGAGGGACTTCAAGAGGAAAAAAAGAACTAGAAACAGCCAACCCCTAACTCTGCCCTTCCTATCTCTATAAGTCTTCAGCTTGGTCCAGGTGAAAAAGTAACAAGGAGTAGATAGATTCAATGGGTAGTTTCTTTTTTTTTTTTTTATTGGTTGTTCACAACATTACAAAGCTCTTGACATATCATATTTCATACATTAGATTGAAGCGGGTTATGAGCAGATTKCAGAATCATGTCAGTTACACATCCACAATTTTACATAATGCCCTATTAGTAATTGTTATATTCTGCTACCTTTCCTATCCCCTACTATCCCTCAATGGGTAGTTTCAATAGGACATTTCAGGAGGCAGACACAGCTTGAGCAGAGGCACAGAAAAAAGGGAGGCAATTGGAGGTGAGGGCATATTATAAGAAGAATTATAAACTTGATTCTGATGGTAGCTGGGGAGACAGAACCCATGATTGTTAAGCAGAGACATGACCAAATGAGAGCTGGGTATTCTGAAGGTGTGTTTGGCAGAGATACAGACATGCAGGGATTGCCAAGTCTTGGAGCCTCAGCTTCCAGGGTGTGGCCACAATATCTGAAAGGGTGGTAGCACTAAGGCAAGGCAGAAGAGGAAGGATGCAAATGGCATTATAGAGAAATCAACAACAGAAGTTAGTGACAGATTGTACAGAAGGAGTGGAAGGAGAGTGGAAGGAGATGGTGGCATGTTGAGTTGGGGTGAGGGCAGAACAGCTGAGTGGAGATGTTCTGCAGGCAGAGATATGCAGAAGACAGACTCTGCCACCCTATACATGCTCACCAGCACTGGGTACCTCTTTTTCCTGTAGACACTTGGCAGTAATGTTTTGGTTAAAGGGTCTTTTCCTCTTTAGACAGCAGACTCCACAGGTACCTTCRTTTGGAGGGATTGTGAGGTTTAGGGATTTTCGATTCCCATGGTTGGGTTCCTGATAGAGGTCATT